GGGTGATTTTTTTGAGGTTAGGATTTTCATGCATTAGTATTTGACAGATCACGTGGGATTTCAGACATGGTGTCAAAGAGAAAGATGCTCAGTATGCTTTGAAATTTCATCATGAATAGACTTACTAACGAGCAACGCTTGCAAATCATTGAATTTTATTACCAAAATCAGTGTTCGGTTCGAAATGTGTTTCGCGCTTTACGTCCGATTTATGGTCTACATAATCGACCAAGTGAGCAAACAATTAATGCGATTGTGACCAAGTTTCGCACTCAGTTTACTTTATTGGACATTAAACCAACCACACGAATGCGTACAGTGCGTACAGAAGAGAATATTGCGTCTGTTTCTGAGAGTGTTGCTGAAGACCGTGAAATGTCGATTCGTCGCCGTTCGCAGCAATTGGGTTTGTGTTATTCGACCACATGGAAGATTTTACGCAAAGATCTTGGTGTAAAACCGTATAAAATACAGCTCGTGCAAGAACTGAAGCCGAACGATCTGCCACAACGTCGAATTTTCAGTGAATGGGCCCTAGAAAAGTTGGCAGAAAATCCGCTTTTTTATCGACAAATTTTGTTCAGCGATGAGGCTCATTTCTGGTTGAATGGCTTCGTAAATAAGCAAAATTGCCGCATTTGGAGTGAAGAGCAACCAGAAGCCGTTCAAGAACTGCCCATGCATCCCGAAAAATGCACTGTTTGGTGTGGTTTGTACGCTGGTGGAATCATTGGACCGTATTTTTTCAAAGATGCTGTTGGACGCAACGTTACGGTGAATGGCGATCGCTATCGTTCGATGCTAACAAACTTTTTGTTGCCAAAAATGGAAGAACTGAACTTGGTTGACATGTGGTTTCAACAAGATGGCGCTACATGCCACACAGCTCGCGATTCTATGGCCATTTTGAGGGAAAACTTCGGAGAACAATTCATCTCAAGAAATGGACCGGTAAGTTGGCCACCAAGATCATGCGATTTGACGCCTTTAGACTATTTTTTGTGGGGCTACGTCAAGTCTAAAGTCTACAGAAATAAGCCAGCAACTATTCCAGCTTTGGAAGACAACATTTCCGAAGAAATTCGGGCTATTCCGGCCGAAATGCTCGAAAAAGTTGCCCAAAATTGGACTTTCCGAATGCACCACCTAAGACGCAGCCGCGGTCAACATTTAAATGAAATTATCTTCAAAAAGTAAATGTCATGGACCAATCTAACGTTTCAAATAAAGAACCGATGAGAATTTTATGCGTTTTTTTTTTAAAAAAAGTTATCAAGCTCTTAAAAAATCACCCGTTATTAATTAATAGTTTTAAGTTTAAACTGTCGAAGTAGAAACAGAGCATGAATAAATCGTTTGTACTTGGTACAAGTATTTTTCCTGACTAGTTTGGGATTTCACTGCAGGGTATACACATAAATACGTAAGTACATAACTTATATAAATATGTATGCACATGCATACAAGTAAAAGCGTCCGCCCATATCTTTGTGTTCAGTAGCTCCCATAAAGAGGTGTGCCTAGCTGGCATCTTGAAAGAAGATTAAATTACACGATCTTGCGAATATGTGTTTGTATTTGCATCTTTGTATGAGCTTACCCATAATGGTTAGATTTGTTGTAAAAACTCGCGGAGGATGCGTTGAAACTTGACACATATAGACGCCAGCATCCTCCCTGTGCGTGGGATTAATGAGCAGCCGCCAATTATTTGGATACTGAAACTTGACGCGAATTCGTGGGTCGCCGCTGTATGTGATGTTGCCAACAGTTAATAAAGAGACCTTTTCTGTTGTTCGCCTGACCCACATAACCTAAAAGAATAATGAATACAAAAGAAATATATAATCAATTTAAGGAAATGATTTAGATCCCAGCAAACATTTGGAGACATGAATGAGTCTTTAAGGAGTCCTATTTCGGAGCCTTTATGCTCAAAATGATCTCATTTAAGAATCCGAAATGAGCGTAATTTCCCTTCCTTCGAAGTTCGACTTATATACATACACTGAGGGAAAAAAATATTAAAATCAAGTAAAAACGTAATTGATCTTACTATAAACGTCAACGAAAGTACTGTATATTGGTAAATATTCAATTCAATTACGCGCATATTAAAATGACCGCGTTCGTACTGAAAAAGCATCCGTGAAGTGAATAATCAAGACAAAAACTAAAAAAAAAATTTATTTGCATTTTGCCTGCAGTGGAATTCGAACCCGACCATCTCCGGATATCAACAACTTGTGGCAAGCATCTTTGCGCACTCAGCTACACCCAGACATATAAATTTGCTTTCAAATGTTGAAAATCCATCAACACCACAGCACGCGATTTGTACTATGTATGTATGTGTGTGTTGCCACCGCTCTCAGAGCGCCGCTCTGCATGCTTGGGGTGCGTATGTACACTTACATATACATACTCAGATGTGAACAGTCGAATACGTGCGTAATAAATTTTGTATGAAAATATTATTTTTAAATACGAACATTTTTAAACGATAATCAAATATAAAGTATTCATTTTTACTATGCATTATTTCCCTCAGTGTATATGCGTTTAAATTCATTCATCAAATGAGCCTCAACATGAGTCACATTGGACTCTTATTGTGCCACAAGTCGGAGGAGAAGCTCGGCCAAACACTAACATATGTGTAAGCGCCAATCTACTATTATTATTTTTATTATACCATACATACATATGTGCATATACATATGTATGTATACATACCTCAGTACATATAAATATTCCGACATACGTATATGGGTAAGGCTTCCTCAAATGGGCACCGAATTTACCAACATTAATATTTTTCAATGATATTCAGGCAGCGCCGAGTTTTGTAGTCGAACAGTACACTGTGTAATTTTTGTTGCAAAATTCCAAATAGTTTCTTTTTAATCAACAATTGAAAATTTTTGCAGTGGTTTGGAAATCTTTATTTTTCTTTGAAAGTAAGTGTCCGAATGAACAAATTTTGTGGGTGCAGATTTAAGAAACATTAAACTATACAATGAAATTATTTGCGTTACAAAAATTGTTTATTTTTTTCTTTTCAATCAATTTTTTATGAAAAGTTGAATTTTTAAGCAATTTCAGCGCCTCGTGGACGAAAATTTTTAACAACTACTTATGTAATAAACATTTCTGCATTTATCTATGAAAAAAAATGCGTGCATTTCGATATAGTTTGGTCGGAATGAATTTCTATTTGGCAGCGTGCGCGCCCGAATCCCGCGGCATGCGAAATTCGAGCACGAAAAATAAAAGTGGAACGATTGAAACGTGCATTTCTTTCTTGCGCAAGAAGGCAATACGGATTGCGCGCGATCCAGCCACGCGAGTCGGGCCCGCACGCTGGCAAATAAAAATTCATTCCAACCAAACTATATCGAAATGTACGCATTTTTTCATACATAACTGCAGAAATGTTTATTACATAAGTAGTTGTTAAAAATGTTCGTCCACGAAATTACTTAAAAATTCAATTTTTCATAAAAAATTGATCGTAAAGCAAAAAAAATAATAATTTTTGTAACGCAAATAATTTCATTGTATAGTTTAATGTTTCCTAAATCTGCACCCAAAAAATTTTTTCATTCGGACACTTACTTTCAAAGAAAAATAAAAATTTCCAAAACACTGCAAAAATTTTCAATTGTTGATTAAAAAGAAACTATTTGGAATTTTGCAACAAAAATTACACAGTGTACTGTTCGACTACAAAACTCGGCGCTGCCTGAATATCATTGAAAAATATTAATGTTGGTAAATTCGGTGCCCACTTGAGGAAGCCTTACCCATATACATACACTTAATAGTAGCAGCTGCAGCTGAATTTGGTTTATTTTTATACCCGAGCGCACTTGTGCACAAGGGTATTATAACTTTGTTCACATAACGGTTGTTTGTAACAGGCAAAACGAATCGAGATAGACAAATGTATACATAAATGATCAGAATGAAAAGAGAAATCGATTAAGCGGTGACTGTCTGTCCGTCCGTCCGTCCGTCTGTGCACACGATAACTCGAGTTAAAATTGAGATATCTTAACGAAACTTGGTACGTGAACTTCTTTTGGGGGTGGGACGGACTGTATTGAAAATGGGCGAAATCGGTTAATAACCGCGCCTACCTCCCATATAACGGTAATTTTCAGAAAAACGAAAACTGCGATATTTTAGTAACTACTGAAGATAATTCACTCAAAATTGATATTTGCAATGAGTTTTAGACGAAAAATAAGAATATTACAAAATTTTGGCAAATGGGCGTAGCCACGCCCACTTATGGTTACATATGTATATCTTGGTAACCGCTACACCAATTTCTTCCAAACTTGGCACAGTTGTTGGCCTTGGTACAGCATAAAAAATCGCCGAAACTTTTTAAAATCGGACAATAACCACGCCCACATCCCATATAACGGTAATTTAGAGAAATACAAAATCTTCGATAAATCAGTAAATATTGAAGCTAATTTATTCAAAATTGATGCTTGCAACAATTCTTTACCAAGAAATACGTTTATGTTAAAATTTTGGAAAATGGGCGTGGCACCGCCCACTTATGATCACATATAAGTATATCGGTAACCGTTCTACCAATTTGTACCAAACTCGGTGTGGTTATTGTGCTTGCCACATATAAGCAAAACTTTGAAAATTGTTGAAATCGGACTAAAATTGAGGACGCTTTTCATATAACGGTAAATTTCAGATATGCTTGAAATTTCAATATTTCGAAATTTAAGGACGCTAATTTACTTAAAATGTATACACCCCGGCTTATCATGTAGCGGTAGCTTTCGGAAAGGTGGAAAACATATATTTAATACTTGCGCCGGGTATTTAATGTTCGGCTCCGCCCGAACTTAGACTTTCTTACTTGTTAGTTTTCTAATTATGATTATTTTCAAATTCTGTATAAACAAGTTTAGATATAAATTTCGAATCTTTATTGTTTTTATATTGACAAAAGGAGCTGGCTCATAACTTGGATTATAATTGACTCCTAAAAGATTCATATAAGAGTCACACATTCTTTGATTTTGAAAGTCATATTTCTTATTCACCTAGGACTCCTTTCGGACTCATATATTCTGAACGCTCAGAATATGTTTGCGGTGATAGTATCCCAGTGGGAAAATGTAATGTATTGTAATAGAAAAAATAATCAGTAAAAGAGCCGTTTTCAAAATTCGAAAATGCATTATTTTTCCCACGGCGATGTCCTAAGAAAAGTGGGGCATTCAATTTTGCATTAATAGTAATGCAAGAATTAATGTGATTTAATATGAAATTTTTGCGACTTTTTGGATACATTCGAATGCTGATTACATATTTAGCAATAATAGAATCTAGAACTCATAATAAATAGATTACCTTATTTATCACGCATGTAATGCATCACTACTTTTCCCACTGGGATGTTTGCCTCAATACCGGACTAACCAAAAGGATCCTAAAAGACTATTTTTTGAGCTATAAACCTTCTTCTATCGGAGCTTTTTCCTCATAAATGAGCTCGTTTTGGAGCCCTAAATGAGCGATTTTTCGTTCTACGCGGGCACGCTGAATGGAGTCTAAAAATGACTCCGAAACCGATGAATTCAGTGCATGTTATGACTGTTTTTCAGTGAATTTCGGAGCTCTTTTGGAGTCTTTTGGCGGAAAATATAGTTTATTCTTTGACAAAAACCGTATAAATCAAAAACACAATAAAGACATGTTTTCAACCCCCTTTCACCAATAATTGCTGATATCGTGATGGACGATTTACTCGAAAATACAATTTCAGAGCTCAAAAAACTTAATATTAACATTAAATTTATAACAAAATATGTAGATGACATCTTCGCAATAGTCAAACGTAATGACGCTAATATTATCCTCCAACATCTGAACAAATACCACAACAAACTTCAATTCACCATGGAAATGGAAGAAAACTCAAGCATCCCTTTTCTAGACGCGCGTATACATAGAAGCGAAAATCGCCTTCTTCTGGACTGGTATTGCAAGCCTACATCTTCTGGTCGCCTGATAAATTTCTTCTCTTCGCAACCAACGAAATCTATATATTAATACGCTAACATAAATTTTGTCTCCGTTCGTTTGGCGACTCTACCGAACCGATTTCAAAACCAAGAACACCGTTGGAAAGGCATTTTTCCGTAGATGAGCAGAGTTTTTGTGGTTTCACAATTGGTTAAAAATTACGGCCAAAACCATTGTTTAAACATTTTCGAATTGTGTATGGATGTTGCTGCAACATGTTCAATTTGACATGTTTCGCCTGTTGTTTCACTACACATTTGAAATTAAGCTTTGAAATAAAGATAAATATGAAGATGAAGAAATAAATGAGAACGATGAAGTCAAAAAAAAAGGCAAAAGTGAAGATAAAGAAAATGGAGACAATGACAGATACATAAGAATTAGGGTAACTAAAAGGGTAAGAACATTTTTTGAATTTATGAAGTAAACTTCTTTAGCGGCAGTTGGTTGGTTGGGAGTAAATTGTCAAATTCAAGGTGAATAATGCACATGGAAATGGTTCTCAGCGGTTTAGCGGTTTGAGAATAAAAAAAAAAACAAAGATGCCTAGAGGTACAGGCAAAAACGAAGATCAAAGCAAATTTAAACACTTTAAGGTAAAGGTGAAGAGGAATATGCAAAAATAAAGATAAATATGAAGAAAAGGATGAGGGTGAAGATCGATATTGTTATCGATATAAAACCCGATATTTTTATCGATATAATAATCGACATTGCTATCGATAAAATAATCGATGTTGTTATCGAT